TTGTGTTTTCTGACTTGTTATAATGTTTTCTGAATTGTTGTTGTGCTTTCTGAATTGTTATTTTGTTTTTTAGACTTGAATTTGCGTTTGTAATTTGTTATTTTGTTTTCAGAATTGTGATTTGCTTTGCACTTCTCGGCCACCGTAGATTTTTGACTGTTTCTACGTATCTGATGTCTATATGCAATCCATTGTCAAGAATTTAAACGAGTCTGTAACCATATTCACGTTTTCTCAGGCGGCAGATGGACTCTTTGATTACATTAAGAGAATATCACCATAATGGTACAGCTACAAATGGGAAACTAAAAAAGGCCATGCCACCAGGTCAGATAATTGTTAGCTACAAGCAGACAAATCTCTTTTTTGTACTTTGATGTTAGTAAATCAAATACCTTAATGTATTGTAATTGGTTCCCTTTGATATCAGACAGATTTACACATTCCATCTCACTTTGCCTCCACACTTTTGCTCCATTCCATTCAGCGCAGCAACAATGACCAAGATTATACCCTGAAAGCACCTATACATACAAATAGCAGTGTCATTAGAGCTGAGAGGTTTTCCATGCTCTCCCTGCCCCTACTGTTCATCCACACAATCCTTTCAACAAAATCAGAGAAGATAATGTGTATTATTAGGTTTCCCATTCTCTTTAATAAGTGATGGAAGAGTGCATTTTCTTTCCAGGTATCAGACTGGTCTGCAGGGCGTTCTCAGGTGCCATCACTGGATAAATTGGACCGAGGGACTTTTGAATTCTTACGTGGCTCACGGTAGGGTAAATAAATTGTTAATCCATAAATGATCATTCTACAGTTTACTCACTCTCATGTCGTTCCAAACTTGTATAACTTTCTTTCAAAAAAGGTGAACTTACTGGGAATGCAATCTCCAAAAAGGACACAAATAACCTTAAAAGTAAGTGATTCATATGACCCGTGTAGCATATTTCAAGTCTTCTGAAGATATACGATAGATTTGTGTGATGAAACAGACTGAAATGTTACTTGTTGACTGAATCTTCAATTCGTGAAAAGAACAATTTGTTAAAAATGACTTGTTATACTTCTCAGAAGAACACACTAATAGGGGCTTGGGTGCACTTAAGGATTTTTTGTCAATAATTATTTATTGATCTGTTTCTCAAACAAAGCTGTTCTAGAGTTTGTTTTATTTTTATTAAATGTGACTTTATTCATTTTTTTTTTTTCATTTTGGAGATCAAAAGCCTCTTTATTCACATGCTTCATACCTTCATCATAGAGTGGCAATGAACTTTTTGTGCTCTATAGAAGAAAGAAAGTCATATGGGTTTGACATAAGGCTAGTAAATAAT